CTCTGAGCCTGGACTCTTGGGGGACGGTCTAGGCCCTGCCCTGGATGAAACGACAGACTATGGACACCCCCTATGGAGGGCCTCACCCTCCCTGGAGAAATGAGGGGGTGTTGGGTGGGTTGGTAGGAGGGTGTGGGAGGAGGGGAGGGAAAGGGAGAGGCACTTGGGATTGACATATGAAGCAACCTTGTTTCTAATTTAAATTTAAATTTAAAAATTAAAATTAAAAAAAAGTGCTGGGACCAAAGGTATGTGCCACCATGCTAGGACTCTTTGTTTTGTTTTGTTTTTTAATTTCTCCTTTTAATAACCAACAAAGTCCAATTTGTGCTCCCTACTCATGGGTGTGGGACTGAGTAGGGGCATAGTGTAAAAGGAAACTGACCCCTTCTTCTCCAGAAGCCATCAATTGTCAATAGCTCCTCAGGTAGGGGTGAGTGCTGACAAGTCATCTCTGCATGGGAGCCCCACAATTGCCTGCAATTCCATATGTACAAAAGGCAAAAATTATGTTCCTAGCCAGGCGTTGGTGGCACACGCCTTTAATCTCCGCACTCGGGAGGCAGAGGCAGGCAGATCTCTGTGAGTTCGAGACCAGCCTGGACTACCAAGAGAGTTCCAGGACAGCTTCCAAAGCCACAGAGAAACCCTGTCTCGAAAAACCCAAAAAAAAAAAAAAATTATGTTCCTACAAACCCTTGGAAGCAAATGTATGGAATGTTGAAATTTTCAGAATGTAGAATAGGTAGTGTACAGTATATAAATAACATCAGTGGACTTGAAGGACTGCATACACATTTTGTCTTGAACAAAACATACAGTGTCCACTTTAAGTGGAATTCAAAAAGACTCAAAATGGCTGGTTCCAGAGGTGTACACCTAATATAGTTCCAGAACTTAAGAGGGGGCATCATTTGAGCATAGGATTTTTGTTTGTTTTTCAAGTTAGGGTTTCTCTGTGTAACAGCTCTGGTTGTCCTAAAACTCACTCTGTAGAGCAGGCTGGCCTCGATGTCACAGAGTAAACAATGGAAATAAGCTATTCCTCTTAAGAGCCCTGACAATGCTTTGTTCAATCCAGGAACACAGTCCAGGAACTATAGGCAATGGGCCAATCCAGCCTAGACTAGTTTTGAGTGTATGCAAACTGTGTCCTCAAAGTGAACTTTTAGAAAGGATCCTCTATTATCATCTGTGCCTATACATAATTGGGCACGCACTGATTAAAGGCCTTATGGGAAGGAGCATGAACAGTAGAGATGTGGTTGTGTAACTTTATGTCAGTCAGGAGCGACTCAAACCTCCCTTAGGAGCCAAGCTTTTACTGGAAATCCATAGATGGAAGTGCCAAACAGTAATGGGGCCTTGAGGATCTTCACTCACTCAGTCCACAGTCAACCTCGATAGTATATTTCTATCCTGTCCTGTGGCTTTGCTCTAAATAAGTTTCCTCGCTAATTTGCAATCTGTGTAGGCTTTTATTTCGTTCTTGATTTTAAGAGGCCATGAAGTTGGAAACCCAGCCCAGACCCTCACAACAGAGGCAATTGGGATTGTGACCTAGCTAGCAAAAGTAGACCACTGGAGGCAGGGCCTTGAAAGGCTCATGTGTTTCTGGTCTGGTCAAAGCTATCTCTGCTCCCTAAACCTCTAAGATATAAACAAATCCCCATGGTCACAGATAGAACCATCCTTGCTGCCTTGCCTGTGTCACTGAAAACTCTACGCATAGAAGCTACTCCCATTCATTAAACAATAACTATCACCACCTCTCCTAGCCTGTGACAGTCACCATTTTGCTTTCCATCTCTAAAAGCCTGACTACTCCAAACCCCTCTTATGACTGGAACCATATCCCTCCCTTTGTAGCTGGCATGTTTCATTTAGCATATAGTTCTCAAGCTTCAATCTAGGCTGTAGTGTGTGACAGAGTTATTACATGCTATTCCTTTAGGCAGCCCAATGGCCCACCATGTGTATCCTATTGCAGTTAATCATTTGTCCAGGGACATTTGGGTTAGCTGTTTTCACATGTTGGCCATTGTGAATAATACTATTATGAACATGAGCCTCTGCTTTCTTTCCAGATACTTACCCAGAAGTGGACTTACTGGATATTATGATAGTCCTATCTTTTCTAATTTTTTGAGACATTTCTGCATCATTTTACATGGCAGTTATACCACGCTACACTCCCATTAGTAGGGCACAAGGATTCTAATCTCCATATTCTCTCCAATGCTTGATTTGATATACTTATCTCTTATTTCTTTCTCTCCCTTTTTTCTAGAATTTTTATGATTTTTTAAAAATTTATGTGCATTGGTGTTTTGCCTGCATGTATATCTGTATGAGAATGTTGGGTCCCCTGGAACTAAAGTTACAGCCATGAGCTGCCATGTGAGTGCTGGGAATTGAACCTGGGTCCTCTGATATAGAACAGTCAGTGCTCTTGACCACTGAGCCATGTCAACAGCTTTTCTTTTTTAAAATAAAAAATTATTTATTAACTTGTGTGTGTGGGTGTTTTGGATGAATGTCTGTGCACCATGTGAGGGTCTGGTGCCATGGAGGCCAAAAAAGGCACCCGACCCCTAGAACTGGAGTTATGGATAGTTATGAGCTACTTCTTTGAAACAACACAACAAGGTATGGGATATGACATCCCAAATGGTCACTGTATTAGTTGCTTTTCTGTGGCTAAGACAAAATACCCTGACAAAAGCAATTTAAGGCAGGAAGGGTTTATTTGGCCCACAGTTCCACAGTACAGGCTCTCATGGTGGTGTGGCCACAGCAGGAGGAGTTTGGGGTACATGGTCATGCCACATCAAAGGTCAGGAAGTACAGGCTCTCATGGTGGTGTGGCCACAGCAGGAGGAGTTTGGGGTACATGGTCATGCCACATCAAAGGTCAGGAAGTACAGGCTCTCATGGTGGTGTGGCCACAGCAGGAGGAGTTTGGGGTACATGGTCATGCCACATCAAAGGTCAGGAAGTACAGGCTCTCATGGTGGTGTGGCCACAGCAGGAGGAGTTTGGGGTACATGGTCATGCCACATCAAAGGTCAGGAAGCAAAGTGATGGGTGCTGGTGCTCAGCTGACTTTCTCCTTTTTATTCAACCCGGGACCCCAGTCCTAGGGATGGTGCCATCCCCATTTAGGGTGGGTCTTCCCACCTCAACTTACTAATAGAGAAAAAGTCCTCACAGGCATGCCCAGAGGCTAGCCTAATCTCCATAATCCCCCACAGGCATGCCCAGAGGCTAGTTTAATCTCCATAATCCCCCACAGGCATGCCCACAGGCTAGTTTAATCTCCATAATCCTTCACAGGTATGCCCAGAGGATCCTTTTCTAGGTAATTCTAGTTCTTGTCTAGTTGACAATCAGTATAAACCATTATAGCCACCCTGGAGGACAAGTGATGTAATTTAAGTGTGGAGAAGTTTCAGGGCAAAATGGTGCATGCCTGTAATTCTAGTATTTCAGAGGCTAAGGTAAAAGTATCATGTGTTTGAGTCTAGCCTGAGCTATATAGTGAGATCTTGCCTCACAAAACAAAAATGTGTAGTAAGACATCCTGCCCTTCAAAGTCATTGATGTGGTTCACATATGCCCATATTAGTTATATTTGAAATCTGAGTTGAGAAAATGTTAGCATATTAATTGGTTTAAAGTAATAAAATTTTCATATGCAAACATAAATAGCGTGTTTTTAATAGGAGGGGGTTGGTTAAGGCACTATGTATACCAAGCTGGCTTCCATTATGGTCAATCCTCATTCCTTACTTCCTGAGTGCTAAAATTACAGCCATGAGGTACCACAAAGGCAAACAGCATATTTTTATGACCCTGATGGGTGTGTGTGTGTTCACTAAGGCTCAAACCTAGGCTTTGTGCATGCTAACAACTGCTCTGCCACTGGGTTATGTTCCCTAATACATGTTTTATAAGAATCCGAGTGTATTTTCCATACTACAATGAGAGCTGGTAAAGACCCTTGCCCCGAGTCCCATGTGGTAGAGGAGAGAACCAGCTACTGAAGTTTATTCTCTGATCTCATGTGCCCTGTGTCACGGATGTGCCCCCACAGAACTGTAAAATGTTTAAAAATCATCTAAAATCAAGTAAGAGGAGTATTGTTTTCCACATCTGCACATCTTTTTAATCTTTGCTGACCAGAAAGCTTGATTTTTCATTTGCTTTTGCATGCAAAGAATTATTCTGTTTTGTGGAAGTGTCTGGAGATGATCTGCCCTATCGTAGGTGGATATGTGGATATTTTCCTCTGATCCTACATGAAGACTGGACATGTAGTATTTCTAAAAGGTGAATTGACATATGGATTCTACACATTCCACTTCACTAAAATCCATTGTTTATTTGTACATCGGTCAGATCTTTTACCCAGACACAACAATGCAGTCCTCCTTAAAGGGTCTTGGGGGCACCCAACAATCCACACTTTAACTTATTGCTTGCTTATAATTGACTTCTCTCGATACTACCCAGCAGAGAGAAGTTCCAGGGAATGGGAATCCTGCACCCTTGCATTTAGAACAGTATTTAGTTCACTGATGACGACAGCAATCATTTGTTCAATGACTGGATCCAAGTGACTCTTCAGGAGGCCTTCCTGGGTCACTGTCATTTCACTGACACTATGTCAACAGATTCACTCAAAACATAAGAAATTCAAGGGTCCGGCTGGAGAGGTGGCTCAGGGGTTAAGAGCACTGACTGCTCTTCCAGAGGTCTTGAGTTCAATTCCCAGCAACCACATGGTAGCTGACAACCATCTACAATTCAATCTGGTGTATATGTAATAAATAAATAAATCTTAAAAAAAAAAAAGAAATTCAAGGGTCTGGGATTTAGCTCAATTTGAGTGCTTGCCTAGCAAGTGAAAGGCCCTGGATTCCATCTTCAATTCTGTGAAAAAGAAATAAGAAGAAGGCAGTTTGTCGTCTTTGGACTCAGAGTGTGTGAGTGCCCAGGATGCTGCGTGGAAGCCGAAGCCGCTCTTCCCGGGTGGCCCCTCCCGCCAGCCGGGCCGCTCAGATGAGGGCTGCTCCGAGACATGAGCCTACAGCTCAGCCTCCAGCTGCAGCCGCACCATCTGCAGTTGGCTCCCCTGCTGCTGCACCCAGGCAGCCAGGCCTGATGGCCCAGATGGCACTCACTGCAGCTGGTGTGGTCATGGGCTCTGCAGTGGGTCACACCCTGGGTCATGCCGTCACTGGGGGCTTCAGTGGAGGAGGCAGTGCCGAGCCTGCAAGGCCTGACGTCACTCACCAGGTATCCCAGGGAACCCAGGACCAGCAGTCTCGAGGGCCATGCTCTCTTGAGATCAAACAGTTTCTGGAATGTGCCCAGAACCAGAGTGACGTCAAGCTGTGCGAGGGCTTCAGTGAGGTGTTGCGACAGTGCAGATGGTTTAATCCAACCAAGAAGTTCAAACGGAAGAAATTGAAATGGACTCTGCCTAATTTATAGTGCAAGTGTGGACCCTGAGTAAACAAGCCTTATTTCTAATAGCTCCGTTACTTCAGAATAGCCATGAAAGAGTCCTAACTATACAGCTATTCACTCTGCTTGTAGTGTTGGAGACGGTCAAGTGATGGCCTCCTTGAACCAATTGTATTGTTTTTATGAGTTAATGAAAATAAAGTTGTTTGATTCTGAAAAAAAAAGAAATAAGAAGAAAACAAAACAAACAAATAAAAGACAAGGTTTGGCTTGAGCAGTTTGTGGGGTCACTGGTAATGGGACTACAATCTGTCCTTAGTGCATGAACTGGCTTTTTGGAGCCCATTTCCTATGGGGAGGTACCTTGCTCAGCCTAAAGGTAGGGTGTTGGTCCTGCCTCAATGTGGTGATGGGACAGACTTCATAGACTCCCCATGGGACACCTTACCCTCTCTGAGGAGTGGAGGGGGGTGGGGTGGAGGGAAGGTAGGGGAGCAGGAGAAGGGAAGGGAACTGGAATTGGTATGTAATAAAAAAAACAATGCCATAAAGATAAACGAGCCTAGCCGGTCGGTGGCAGCGCACGCCTTTAATCCCAGCACTCGGGAGGCAGAGGCAAGTGGATCTCTGTGAGTTTGAGGCCGGGCTGGACCGACAGCCTCCAAAACAATACAGAGAAACCCTGTCTCGTAAAAAAAAAAAAAAAAAAAAAGATAAATGAGCCTAAAACTAACTAGTTTTAGCAGACATAAATAAATTTGACCTTAAAAAAACAGGTTTACTAAACCAGGTATGGTAGCTGTTGCTCATAATCTCAGCCCTGAAAGGTGGAGGCAGGAGAATGTGAGTTCCAGGTCAGCCTGGGCTGCATTAAAGAAGAAAGAAAGAAAGCAAACTGAGCAGCCCTGGGGAGCAAGCCAGTAAGCAGCACCCTCCATGGTCTCTGCTTCAATTCCTGCTTGCAGGTCCCTCCCTTGTGTCCCTCCCTTGACCTCCTTCAGTGATGGGTGGAGGCAGAGCCTCAGTGTCTCTGCAGCCACTCCCAAATAAGCACACAGACACCTATATGCTCAGCTGATAGCTCAGGCTTGATACTACCTAACTCCTACACTTTAAATTAACCCGTATTTCTTATCTAGCCTCTGCCATGTGGTGATAACTTCTTTTCAACACAGGGTGTTCATTTTGTTTCTTTCTGCATCTCGCTTGACTCCCTTCACTCCGCCCTTCTTCTTCCCAGAATCTTTAGTCTGGTTTTCCCAGCTAACCTTATCCCGTCCAGGCCTGTCAGCTTCTTTACTAACCCAATCACAGCAACACATAGTCCACAGTATAAAGGAATATCCCACACTTCCTCCTTTTTGTCTGATTAAAAAGGAGGGTTTTAACTTTTTTAACACAGTAAAATTATACACAACAGATGGGCTGTAAGCTGTACTATTTTTAATACTATTCATCTCAGTAATACAAAACAAACTAAGACACTAACCAAAGCTTCATGAAGCATTTTTCCTTTATTTAGGAGTGTCACAGAGAAAGAAGAGTAAATAAGATGAGGGTAAAGGAAAGGAATGTTGTTTAAAAAAAAACAGGAAATAAAAATAAGTTACTTGGCACTTGTGGTGGTTTGAATGAGAAATGCCCCCATGCTCTTGAGCACTAGAATGTTTGGTCCCCTGTGTGTGGCACTGTTTGGGAGGCTTAGAAGGTATGGCCTTGTTGGAGTAAGTACATCCCTGGAGAGAAACGTTTAGTGTAGAAAACCTGCTATTTCCAGTTCATTCTCTTTGTGTCATGTTTACAGTAGAGAATGTGAGTTCTCAGCATCCTGCCCCAGCCTCCTCCTGTGCTCGGCACCACGCCTCCACCACCGTGAACTCCTACTCCTGTGCTCGGTACCACACTTCCATCACCGTGGACTCCCACTCCTGTGCTCGGTACCACACTTCCATCACGACCGTGGACTCCCGCTCCTGTGCTCGGCTCCACACCTCCACTCCATCACCGTGGATTCCCACTCCTGTGCTTGGCACCACACCTCCATCACCATGGATTCCCACTCCTGTGCTCGGCACCACACCTCCACTCCATCACCGTGGATTCCCACTCCTGTGCTCGGCACCACACCTCCATCACCATGGATTCCCGCTCCTGTGCTCGGCTCCACACCTCCACTCCATCACCGTGGACTCCCGCTCCTGTGCTCGGCACCACACCTCCACTCCACTGTCATAGATTCTTATTCTTTGGAACTGTAAGCCAAAATATACCCCCTCTTCCTTAAGTTGCCTTTGGTCGTGGTGTATTATCACGGTAACAGCATTTTGCAAGAATATCCATATATTGACTTTAAAAAGCAGTCTAGACTCTTGCTACTCAAAGCACAGGCACAATGTCAGCAGCACTGGGATCATCTGGCTATTAGAGAAATGAAATCTCAGCTTCCATGCCTTACTGTATCTGATGCTATTTTATAAATATGACCACTATTAAGTTCTATTCCACATGTTCTTCTTATGAAATTTACAACATTCCATGAATTAATGAGGTCACTGAGCCTTCTCTTAAATCTTGGCAGACCTTTATGATGACCTTGGTCAGGAATATGGCAGAAATGGCTGTGTGACTTCTGAGGTCAGGTTGAGAGGTACCATACATTTTCACTCTCTTTGCCGGGAGGAACTCAGCCACCATGCTGTCAGGAAGCTGTATGCCCACACAGGAGGAAGTATGTGTGTTTAATGGTCAGGAACCCCAGCTGTGGTCTCCATTAACAACCAACATCACCAAACAACTATTCCTACCAAGCCCAGCCCAAATTCCAGGATGTGAGAAAGCAAATGACTAGCCATTTAATGACTGTTTTAGTCCGATGTGTTTGGGAGGGTTTGCTGTGCTGCAGCAGCAGCCACCCAGAAAAGCCTGCATTCCTCATCTGCACTCACGCAATACTGCTCCAGGATACTTGCGCTCATCAAACTGAGATGCATTGGTTTAAAGCAAAACTGCTGCCCTTAAGAAACTGTGCTTACAATTTGTGAAAAGCTGCAGAATGAGTGAAAATCGTGTTTACAGCAACTATTTCCGAAAAGATGGATGGTTGATGCCTCCTAAATGTGCTGTGTCCTCCAAGTGTTAAAACATGTCCAGGTTTCAGGTCAGACTCACTGCTGGATGGGATTTTCTTGAGAATTGCTAGAGAAAACTGACAGGATGCTGGAGAAGGCAAACTAAGAGATTTTAGAAGCTTTGTACTTTGAACTGTTAGGAAGCTAAGGGCTGAGGCTGTGTGATGCAGACATAGTACTTACCTGCATGCCAAGGGCTATAATCATTTTAATAACTGGCTCAAAGAAAAGTCTAGAAAACAAGTGGCGTCATGCTACCAAGTTAGGTGTCCAAGGATACATGACTGCTCCCTGGCATGGAGCACACTTTCCTAGCACAGAGCTCAATGTCTACCCCCGCTATGTTGTTTAGTTAGCTTCCCATTACATAAACAAGCAACAGTGTATCAACATTAAAAAGGGGTGGGTGGGAGCTGAGAGATGAGTCAGCAATTAAGAGCACCGGATGCTCTTCCAGAGGACCCCTGCGAAGTATGGCTCTGCAGCTGCTGTCACAGTGTGTACTTGCTTTATTCAGTGTCCACGTGTTAAACTCAGTATATCGGGAAGATTTTTGCTTGTTTGTTTGGTTTGGTTTGGTTGTTGTTGTTAGGAGGAATAGTAATAGACCCTGGCTAATTTAAGGAGAAAAGGTCTTACTGGCATGGTAGGAGAAGATAAACCAGCCTGGGGAAGGGTGGGAACCAGGAAGTCCCCAGAGTCTAGAAGGGGGAAGCAGGAAGACCTACACCAGTCCTACCCACATCTCCATGCACAATGCCACTGCTGCAATGAAGCCCATCACAGATGTATTGCGGCCTCTAGGGTCAAAGGTTCTGGGATGCTGTAGTAGGCAGATGTGGTATCTGGAAAGTAATTGGCCTTGCTTGCTCAGGGAGAGAAATCATTCCCAAAGAAATGAAAGGAACTCTGAATATTATAAGGATAATGGTGGGATAATGCTATGCTTCCAAAGCCTGGTCTAGATGACACAAAGTGTGTTAAGATCACAATGCAAACCCATCGTTCTCAATACACAGAACATGGGGGTGAGTGTGAGAAAGTACAATAACACACGCACGAAGTACCATGATGAAACCCATTCTTTTGTATACCCACTTAAAAAATGGTGTAAGAAACAATATCATACTCCTCTCCTACAGATCGCTGCCATCATGGACACGAGTCACGTGCAGCCCATCAAGCTGGCTAGGGTAATCAAAGTGCTGGGCAGGACTGATTTGCAGGGACAGTACACACAGGAATTTATTAGATGACACCACCCACTCTATGATCTGACACATCAAAGACCCCATTTGAAAGGGTGATGGTTGGAGTCAGAAAGAGGAGCTTGGAAGCTGTGCTGACCTTGCTCCTGGATACCACCACTTGGCCCATGGGATGCCCTGCAGCTGCTAAATAAAGCATTTGTGTTGATTTGTTGTTGTTATTGTTGTTGTTTTAAAAGAGAGAGGGAGGGGGAGAGAGAGAGAGAGAGAGAGAGAGGAGGGAAGAGGGAAGGAGGGAGGGAGGAAAAAAGCTTAAAACTTGTGTTAGAGAGATGGTTCAGCAGTTAAAGCATTTGCATTTGCTGCTCTTCCAGAGGTCCTGACTTCAGTTCCCATTGCCCATGTCAGGCAGCTAGCTCACAACCACCTGGAACTCCAGCTCCAGGAAAGCAGTGCCGTCTTTTGGCTTACAAGAGCACCTGCACTCATGAGCACATGCACACACACCCCAAGGAATAAAAATAATTCTTTTTTAAAGTGAAAACTGACCAAGCATGGCACATGTCTTTAATCCCAGAAATCTAGAGGCAGAGACAGCAGGATCTCTGTGGGTTCAAGACCAGCCTGGTCTATGTAACAAGCTCCAGGACAGTCAGAGCTCTATAGAGAGACCCTATCTCAACAAAAGTGGGTGAGGAGAAAAGAAAATTAAGTTAAAAACCCAAACTACAT